TTTCTCCCCCTGCCTGCTTGCTGTTCTTTGCCTTGGACAATTGCCAACACTTTCTGCCGAGCTAAATTTCTCAGTAACAATTTTATTTCCATTCTTCTTGTCACTGTACATTGTGATCAAACACTTTTCCCGGTTGTCAAGCTATTTATTGCCTTTTATGTAGCAAACTAGTACAAAATCAATATTGAATGGGACACAGAATGAAAGACACAGTGTCTTCCTTCTCCATCACACTTTGTAAGAATGGGCAGCGTGTCAAAGCAAATTCTTAAAAATTTTGTTTTTCTGGATTTGATGGAATGATGGATTATCATTCCCTTGGCTGCACCCAGTCGTCCCAACCATACCCCGAATAAAGGAATCATGGGTCGTAAAAAGGAAAAAAATGGAATGATGGAATTGTAATTTTTAATGATTGTTAACAAACTATAATTAGTAACTTTCACACGTCAGGTTTTCTGATCTTTAGCTGAAAATATTAGAAGTAGAAAAATAAGTTTTGGCAACTAAAATAATGTGACAATTCTCTGAAAATTGTGTTGGCTGCCAACTCCATTTTCTATGCAACGGTACAGATGATGTGCACGCAATGTATATATTGTTATGTGGCTAATTTGCTCTAGGATGCATAAAACAAATACATTTGCTTTACTTTATACAGTCAGCCTCTGGATCCAAATAATAGAGTTTCTGAAGTCAAGAGAGACTCCATTCTTTGCTTTTAACCCACTAACCAATTATGATCTGACGGTAAACAAAACAAAAATAGCATATTCCTTTCTCTCTCTCTCTCTTCCTTTCTCTCCTCTCTCTTTTTGTTTCTGCCTTGGAGTCAGTTTCTGACACCTGGTGATTGTTTGGGCTAATCCGTGTAATTTTGGGGGGCATGATTTTGAAAGTGGCTTGCCCTTGCCAGCTTCCTTGGGCAGTGAGAAAGGGACTGGCCCAGTGGTGAAATTCAATTTTTTTTACTACCAGTTCTGTGGGCGTGGCTTGGTGGGCGTGGCAGGGGAAGGATACTGCAAAATCCTCATTCCCACCCCACTCCAGGGGGAAGGATATTGCAAAATCTCCATTCCCACCCCACTCTAGGGCCAGCCAGAGGTGGTATTTGCCGGTTCTCCGAACTGCTCAAAATTTCCACTACTGGTTCTCCGAACTGCTCAAAATTTCCGCTACCGGTTCTCCAGAACCTGTCAGAACCTGCTGGATTTCACTCCTGGACTGGCCCAAGGTCACCCAGCTGTCTTTGTGCCTAAGGCAGGATTAGAACTACTGGTCTCCCTCACTTTATTAAACTGGCTCTTGTTATTAGTAGGGAAATACGAATGACATATCTATATGAAGGCGAGGCACCAACTACCATCTATGGACAATAGTCCTTTGTGAATATAGTATGTATGCAGATTCTTATTTTCGGCCTTCCTGAAATAGGAGCTATAAAGTAATCTTATTTCCTACCTTTTGTGACCCAGGCCGAGGCCAAGGAAAGAAATAAGATTGAGAAACAGTTTACTGGAAGTTTCATCGGTTTCCTTTTTTGGGGACGGTTGTTTATTATTTCAAATGCTAAACCAGTTTTTTTTCCCCTTTACATATTCAAAACAAATTCCATAGCTTGCGACACAGCACATACAACTCCCATAAAACAAAGATATGAATAGCCTATATGGGTGGATGGGTTGGATTTCATACATCTGAAATGAGTTAGGAATGAATTCCAAATAAAGGCTGACAAGAGAGTAATTGGAATGAAATTGTATTAAATAAATAAATTAAATTATTCCGATCCACAGCTGATTTGTGGCTATAGAAGATGTGGGTAGCTTTGTTTGGCTTGTGTGAGGTAACCAGCTCTAATAAGGCCACAACCACACTGCCCTTAAAAAGCCCAATCGTCTAAATTGGGACAGCTCGCACTCATTTATAGTTGCTATGACAACCAGGCTTTCATATTCGAGACTGTAACATTCCTGGAGCAAGTTGGGCTTTGTGAATGAAAGTACGCATGCCCTGCAGTAAATTGCACTGTACAATGTGGAGCTGAAGGTCGAAGAGGGAGAAATCCACCCAAATGCATGCGGAATAGAAAATAATGCTAATAGGATCCCAGCAAGACCCTTCCCCCAACTGCATTTTTAACCTAGGAATTTGCTTTACTGTTAATAACATTAAAATGCTTTCTGCCTATCGTTTTTCTGCAGCTCATTGCAACCTGCAACTTATTCAAACTTCCCAGAGCAACCTCGCAGACTTGCCTGGAATACCGTAAGCATGCTGCAGTGCAGTGCAGGTCTCCTGACTGCCTCAATTTTGCATCTGACCTGCAAAGTGAGGTTAGTTTACTTTACTTTATTGTCATTTCACCTCGTACAACCAAAGTAAATGCCATCTTCAGTGTACATTATAATTATACAAATAAAACACATCCTTCACATTCTACACAATTGAACTGAAAACCAGATACTGCATTAATATTGCACTATATAGTAGAATTCAGTATAGATACTACCCTGGGATAGAAGCTGTTTTTCAGCCTATTTGTCCTTGTTTTTATTGTCCTGTACCGCCTGCCAGATGCTAATAGTTCAAAAAAAAAAGGGTGCCCAGGATGAGATGGACCTTTAAGAACGTTTCAAACTTTCTTAAGGCAGTGGGAGCTATAAAGCTCTTCCAAGGAGGGGAGAGGGCAACCAATGATCCTCTGGGCAATGATGTTAACTCTCTGGAGCGCTGTCCTATCTGCCACTGTGCAACTGGCGAACCATACACAGGTGCAGTAAGTTATAATACTCTCTATGGTGCAGTGGTAGAAGGTAACCAGCAGTTTTTCATTCAGTTGTTGTTTCCTGAGAAGTCTCAGGTAGTATAATCTTTGCTGGGCCCTTTTGACCAGTGCTACAATGTGAGTGCCCCAGGTCAGGTCCTTTTTTATGATAACACCCAGAAACTTAAAACTGGCCACTTGCTCCACTCAGTCTCTATTGATAAGCAAGAGCTGGATGTCTGATCTATTCCTTCTATAGTCCACATAAGCTCCTTGGTCTTATTGGTGTTAAGGACCAAGTTATTGCCTCCAGAGCATGAAAGCAACCGGTCCACCTCATCTCGATAGGCAGACTGATCCCCCCCCCAGAGATGAGTCCCACCACCATTGCTACCCTGCAATGTTGATTTCTTTTCGGTCAACAATGCAAGGCAATGTATGCATTCAGTTTAAATACATGCACGGCCCCCCCCACACACACACACACAAATCTCAACCTAGAAAATGCTGACCCTCGGTGAAGCGTGGATAGTTCACCTTGAACATTGAGACATTGGTCATAACATCAGTTTTGAGGATCGATGGGGCTCTTGCTTAGCCACAGAGTGTTCAAGGAAGAGAAAGCTGCATTGATTATATATTAGCCTTTACACCACCTGAAGGGAAGGGCCGAGGTGACATAAAATTGGGAGGAGGAGGAGGGAGAAGACAATTGGGGTGTGTGTGTGTGGAATCAAGACCTATTCTTAGAGACAGGGTTCACATCTTGCACTAAAACATGGCTTATATACGCATATTTTATCGAATGGATCTTGTTTGGAGGGGTTCATATAGCATCCTTCATTAGAACCAAGCAACTGCATTATTTCTCAGCAAAAATGACATGCTCTAAATAAAGCTGAGGTGCCACCATCAACTAGAAACAGAAGGCATGTATTTGCTCCATAAGTTTTGGCAGGGGTCTGTTCTCTGAGCTTATTGTTTAGCTCCCTCCTGCCAAAACCTACAACCTGAGCTTTGAATATTCTCAACGATTGCTCCATAAAAATTTTGTTAAAACCATAGTTGGATAAGTTTTATATGATCTTAAGAGAAACTGCTCGGCTAAGAGCTAGTGTAGTTGAGTAATACACTTCTATTAGGAACAAAAAACGAACTGTAAATATTGAGTGAGCTTTCAGGCTGCACCATCACACCTGACTTGAAATTTTTATACTGCAAAAAAATTCCATCTTCCTGACTTTCACCACCCCTCCAAAACAAATTGTAACAGTAATTTGTACATTCAGTACAGTACATTCCTAGGAAAAGGAAAAGAATAAAAATATTAAACTTCTCTATTGTCTAAAGAATTTCCATTTCGTATGTTCACTCGATCAAAATTAAATTCCCCTCAAGAATCTTTGGGAAAGTAAGGGGGAAATGTAAAAGGGACTTATCATTGTTCTGTTAAAAGTTAAGTGAAAGTTATTTATCGTTATTCAATATTACTGAATTTCCAGCTTACATTATACTAGAAAACTCCCTGAAAAAGTCTATTATAATTGATTAATACTGGGAATAGTATCCTGGTAGTGTCAGAGTGCTGCAGACCCTCCAAGGGATGGGTAGGTTTGCCGGTTTGCAAGATACCATTAACATCCTAGCTTTTCTAGAATGGTGTGAATACCTGCAAGGAAAAACTGAGGTTAGGTGAGGAATACTGGCCACTGATGGGCTGCACTGACATCTTCACATAATATGTGCATATTATTTATTATATCCTGATTTCTGATACTGCATATCAGCATTCCTCAACCTTTCCGGTTTAGCAGGCCAGTGGAGATAGGAGGGGTGGGGGTGGGGGTGGGGTTTGCGGATGCACATCGCTTTCACAAATGTAGCTGCGCACACGCATGAACTCACCCACAGCCTGTTCCGAAGAGGCCTGTTCTAAAGCACCAGGCCACAGACTGAGGGTTTGAGACTCCTGCTGTATATGATATGGTATTTAAGTGTTTTCTTCATTCGTTTCATCTTATAATATAAAATGAATGATTATCCCTGAGGTACAAATGAACACAACTCTTATTTATTACAATTCATAATTTGAAAACGGAAAAAAAACAACAACCTGGAAATGTAGACGGGACTATCTTAAAATTGATCAACCTGTGAATTGCTTCAATCTATCATGCAAAAAAAAAAGGGGGGGGAGAAGAAAAGGAGAAAAAGAGGAGCCTTTACTCGCAGATAATGACAGTAGACTTTTATTAACATATTTTACAATATTGATTATGATAGTTTTAGTTTTACATGTCGATTCTGTTTCTACAGTAATGTACTGTACTTAGATTTCCATTCATACAAGTTATCTCACCAGGACGCTGGAGGAATAATAGCAGCAGCAGCAGCAGCAGCAGAAGCAGCAGCACACACACGCCGTTCTAGCGTGGCCCTGTTATGCTCTCCAAGGAAGTTTAATAAAGCAGATTTTTAAGAAGTTACGGGAGGAATCCAACTTCTGTTTCAGCAGCATGCAGGCATATTTCAAGTAGGAATTCCAAACACGTGTCTTGTCTTTTGTCTTTAAAATGACCAGTGACTTAATGCACTAGTATCAAAATGAACATTGTGAAATACCAAGGTTTTAAAGTTAAGGCGAATAATTTTACTTCACAGCCATATACACAATCGAAAACATTCCATTTTAAATAACACGTTTTAGTCATTTTCTGAAAACATTATCTCTTGTGAAGATTCAAACTATACAGAGGAGAAGCCCTGTCATTGTGTTATGCCATGAGATGCCCAGGATATTTCGTCTTATCCTCATAAAATGGCTTGGTTCTCATTGGTAAGCAATGCAAAAAGAAGAGAGGAGGACCAGGAGAACTTCTGATGTATTGACAAATGAAGTCATGTTTTAGACAAAAAAAAAAAAAAAATTCCAGTAATGATGGAACAATATGCAGACTTTTAGAAATACTCCCAATATTTGCGTTCATGTCTTTGTCTACACAATTTTCGATAAAATATATTGCCAAGTGCTATATTTTTCTAAAAACCGAAAGGGCTTTGAAGATCCTTATACAAATAATCCCACAGCCTGGCCCATGTGCTTTTCTATAGCTGAAGAGAAAGCAGCTTTCAATCAAATGCAAGGCTTTGTAATGAAGAACACTTCTTAAAAAATAGTTTCCAGGTAAAGGCTTTTTTTTCCCAGGAAAAAATTATGTTTAAAATATGTAAATGTCACAAAAGCCTGACAGCATTGTTTGAAATTGTCAACTCTGCAAGAAAGAAGAAAAGCATTTTGGCAGCGAAACATCAGCACTGAAAAGTACTGCCTGCCTGTGTGTTTCATTTTTGGCAAGGATGCCCATTGTGGCTGATTTCAAATTCCTCCAAACCAAAATGCCCTGGTCTTAATTTCTACAACACAACGGCCTGCTCATATCCTCTCAAACTGTGTTTAAATCAATTTGTGCAACACTGACTCCTCTGTGTAATCTGGGAGTCAAAGGCTAGGAGGGTGAATGAAAGGGGGGGGGGCTGACTCTGCCAAACATGGCCTTGCTCTGAAGCCTTGACTGCCCCACTGCTTTCTAGATCAAAGCATCCTTCATTTGAGATGCAAAGGGGGAATGGTGAGAGATAGGAACCATTTGAGCACGGCCATCTTGCAACTCAGTGCCTTACCCCAAGCTGCTTGGAACTCAATTAAGTTTCCTAATAACAGCCCACTGGCAAAATACTCATGAAGCCTTCTCCTGCACCACAACCTATCCTACCAACCCGAAAAAGTCAGCTAATGGAAATGAGACAAAGGTCATGCTTGGTTGGGCCAGTGTCTGACCACATGGACCATTTGTTGCATGTACACAGGCAGTTGTATAGATGTCTTGGGATTTCTTTGTAATTAAATTAACTGAAATGTCAGACACAACATTGTGTACACGTTGTATTATATTCAGAGTGGTAAACTACTTATTTTACAGCTATTTCACTAATCTCTGGAGTATATCTATGAAATTCCTGAGAATGAATAAGGTTTTCAGCAATGCCTGAAACTATTTTAATAGCTCTCGGGCAATAAGCGAAATATTTTCTAAAAATCTTTTAGACATTTCTATACAATTCCACAAATTGAAAGTGTTACAACTCTTACATACTTACAAATGCATATTGAGCAAAATCTTAAAACACAAAGAGAAAGAAAAAAAGGAGCCACATGTTTAGCAGGTGTCTACAGATATACAGTTCATCAGCACAATCAAACCACCCCAATCAGGGAAAAATAAAACACTCAATGGCCATTTGGTGGCGTTTTTAAAGTACAATTTGTGCTTGTTTATTAGTGGATTAGAAAGCAACAACTATAAAATTAATTTAGATTCCATATCAAATCAGGAGAACTAATTATTTTGTGTTTTTAAATTACCAGCACCCAATTAATATAGGGCTTCGTTTCATGACCTGGCTTCATGCTTTCCCAGAGAAGAAAAAGACTGGGTTCCCGTTCCCTTAAAGCAAAAGCTAATCAAGGGGCAAATGTAATAAAGGGGATGTGACAGCACAACGGTTAGCAACCTATAAACCATTGTAATGTGGCCCCCATCGTTTATTGATGTGATCAAAAGTATGTGATACCCACTGCTGTTCCAGCATTTTGTATCTTTCCTTACATATATAGAGTGGTTTGCCACGCCTGTAAAGAAAAAAAAATAAATAAGAAAAATAGCAAGGCTGATGCAAGATACTTCTTTAAACACCACCCTCCAACTATGTATGTCTGGAGCTCTGAAGGAAACCCAAGCTATGTTCCATTATCTCTTATTGGTGTCATTGTCTCAAGTTGGCTGGTTTATTGCACAATTTCACTTTTGCCCACACCCCATTTTCCACCGGCCACCACAGAATCCCACCTGCGTGCTACCCAGAAGATGTGATATTTACACACACAAATACCTCTTCATCTAGCAATAGACCCAAACTGTTACAACAAAACTCTGTTTAAAAATAAAAGCTGGCCAATACAGGCACAAATGCCTATTACCCATGTTTTAAAAAATTACCTGAGATCTCTGTCCTCTTCACCATGAGCATCCAGGTAAACAGAGCCCCAAAGGCAAAACCGATGACCACGAATTATGATGATTACAGATGCATTGATCAAAAGAAAGATACCCGTTCCAGCTCCACAATTTTGCGAGTGCTGAAATTTTATTACAGAGCAGAAAAAAAAAAAAAAGAGATGGCATTTATCGTGAGGGCAATTACAATGAAGAGGAAAATATTTTGCTTTAATGAATAAAACTGCATCATCTCAGAACAATCTTATCCTTGCCTCTTCTGCATCTGTAGAACAGCTCTTCTGACTTAAACTATGAACATATTTATGAGCCAAAATCTGCCTTATTATCATAGGCAAGCATGCACGTTATTTAGCATTAAAAGAGAAACTGATCCCAACAAACTGTCTTTTAGACTTTTAGCAATTGGGAACCAGATTTACCAAAAAAATATTTGTTTTTCATTCTTTCCAATAATTGCTTGATTGAAAGAAGCAATTCATCTAATGTTAATTATTAAAAGTATTTTCCTTTCTAAAGTATTGTTTGGCAACAGAACAGTAACTTTAAGAGTCTCTTACCAAGACACATTCACAGAAGCTCTGCCGTTTGCAGCACAGTCCTTTCAAACACACAAAAGCACCACAAACTAAACAAACTGCAGGATCTTTGGGAACTTTGGAACAGATGAAACAACTCTTTCTGTGATAGTACTGAAAAACAGTATTATAATTTTCAGGCAATTGCAGGAGGTGTGGTAAGTCCCAGGTAGGTTTTTGTAAAAGTAAGACCTGAAAAAGAAATATTTGGCTATAAGATTGAATTAGAGAAATGGCAACAACTATGAGGAAGGAATTATAAATTAATAATGGCAACAGCATATAAAGAAAATTTATATAAAATGTTTTATAGATGGCATATGCCACCAGAAAGGTTAGCAAAAATGTTTAAAGACAAATCAACTAAATAATAATAATAATAATAATAATAATAATAATAATAATAATAATAATAATAATAATAATAATAATAATAATAATAATTTTATTTCTATACCACCCTTCTCCTGAAGGACTCAGGGCGGTGTACAGTCTATTAAAAACACAAAAAAATGTTGGAAATGTTATCAGTTGCCAGGATCATATTATCATATGTAGTGGACATATGTGGTAGAAGGAAGCAAAGAATTATTGGGTTAAAATACAAACATTCAATATTTTGTCAAGATGGTATATTTTTAATTTATATTTACCCAGGAATGCTACACCAGTGTATAGAGTTAAGACTAGGGGCATTTTTATTGGGAATTTTACCGGAGAAATATTGCAAAGAAGATACATATTTGATTATACATATAACACCGGCTAGAATAGTATTTGCACAAAACTGGAAAGCAGAAAAAATCCCATTAGAAGGAGAGATAATAAAGAAAATTTTAGAATGTGCAGAAATGAACAGGTTAACATTAGGAATAAAAGATAAAGAGGAATCAATGTACTTCAAGAAATGGGGACGTTTTTATGATTGGCTAGAAAAGGAATTTGAATAAAAATAAATGAGAGAAAAAACAAAAAAAAAATAGAAATCCAGATGACACCTGAGTAATTGAAAAAGGGGGAAGGAGGGGGAAAATGAAAAAAGAGGTACTATATAATGTACGTTAAGGATGATATATGTCTAACCAACAAAATAGAAAAGAAATTGAAAGGAAAATGTGGGTAAATATAAATTAAAAATATACCATCTTGACAAAATATTGAATTGAAAATGAACACAATGGAGAGGGAAGGGAGAGAGGAGTAGAGGGACAGGTAGGAAGGAGAGAGGAGAAGGGAGGAAAAGAGAGAGAGAAGAAAGGGGAAAGGAGTGGAAGAAAGGGAGGGGAAATAAGAGTAGGAGAGAAAGTTAGAAAGGAAGGAAGAGGGGAGGAGTGGGGGAAAGGAAGGGGAAGGAGAGGAGGGGAAGGAGAGGAAGAAAAAAGAAAGTTGAAAAGAATAGAAGAAGTGAGGGAAGGGTAAGAGGGCAAAAGGAGAGGAATGGTTGTTGTGGAAGAAGGGAGATATGGAATGGTAGAAGAGCAACTCCGAATATATTTTAAAGTTTTAAGATGAAGAATGAACCAATATGGAAACCAAAAGATAATATGTGTGATAAGAGTGATTAAAGAGATTGTACATTTATATATGTTTTATGAGAAATAAAAATAAAAAACTTTTGTAAAAAAATAAATATTTTTTTTTAAAAAGAAAGTTAAATAATATCTTTATGTGCTCTGAATATGTACTGTAATTGTTTCCTTGTGAAAATAAGTTAGCATCTGTTTGACTTTGTCAAGATAAAACATGTTCGGGCTTCCGGTTTGATTTCCATCGCCACCAGACGGTCCTTTGAGACCGCCAGCCCCGTCGCTCGTAAAGAGCCGCCTTTACATCTGAAAGGCGGCTCGAAAAACTCCATTTCCATAAGGAAATGTGAGATAGAGCAGGCGAGGGTAGGTAGAACCCTCTGCGAAGTCCCCAGAGTTTTTCCTTTACTCTTGGGGACGAAGCAGGATGAGGCTCCCTATTTCCCTCGCCACTACTCCGGGCTTCGGGAGACCTCTGCCTCTTGCAGAGCCAGGCGACGAGATCAAGCCTTTCAATGAAAACAACAGATTGCTTAATTAAAGAGGATGAGATCTGGACTTGGGACCCTAATTTGCAAGTATTTTTAATGATTTTATAAGCGTTTCTAAGCGAAGGAAAAAAAGCTTAAAATGGCGACTGCTGAGGCTTGAGAAGTAGCCGAAAGTGAAAGTCCTTCCGTAACAAGTTACAAAGTAGCGGAGCAAACAGTGCTGGCTAGAATAGAGAAAATAAAAAATTTCTATTCTAAGTTTCTTTTTTTTTTTCTTGGAGATCTGATATTGATCTTGTTGGAGAGAAGTCCTCTTTCTTCAAAAAGAGTTTGTCTGTGTGGCAGGATGGCGTTAAAATTAACAAAGCCAGACAAACAAGCAGCGGGGGGGGGGGTTTCCCCCATTTACAATTATGTGAGCAAGTTTTGAGTTTACGGACTCAGAAGGATGGTTTTAATTTAAAAGAATTTGTTTTGAAGGAAATGGCAAGACATGACGAGATTGTGAACCAGAATTTTGAAAAATTCAAGCAGGAAATTAAAGAATTCATACAATTAAAGTATGATAACCTACAAAGAAAGATTGTAACAGTGACTAATGCTTTTTCAGAAATAGTTATAAAGATGGATACAAATATCAAGTTATTAGAGTCTAAAATGGAGGAAGTTGATGATAAGATTTATAATTTGAACAACAAAATACAAAGAATGGAAAATGAATTGATAAATATTCAAGACAATAGCTCTGAAGTAAAGTCTAAAAAGGAAGCTGATCACGAGACTTATAATACAGAAAATATAAAACAAGGGATTGAAAGAGAAGTTACAATGATGCAATACAGGCTCACAGAATTTGCGGTTAGAATGAGAGGGTTACAGGAAAACAATAGAGATGATTTAAGAAAAATATCTGCTGAAGTTTTGGCTGGGATTTTAAAGATTCATCCAGAGGAGGTATCTTGTAAGATCGACAAGGCCTATAGAGTAAATTCTTGGATTGCAAAGCAAAGGCAATTGCCTAGAGATGTGGTGATTTATTTTACAGAAAAAGAAATAAGAAATGATATTGTGCAAAAATCTTTTAATTCTACTCTACAATTGTATGGAAGAAAGATCTGGATATATAAAGAGTTGCCACCGAAGATATTAAAAGATAGAAAGAAATTTGGATTTTTGGTGACTGAGCTAAACAAACAAAACATCTCATTCAGGTGGGATGTCCCAGTTGGCATAATATTGAGATATCAAGGAGAAAGATATCAACTAAACTCTGTTGAAAAAGCGGAAGAATTTTACTATAAGGTTCTTAAAATGGGTTCAACTTCTTCATGTATAATACATGAGTGGAATAAAGAAAAGCAAAATCAACAAGAGATAGAAATTCAGGATAAGCAGAAAGAGATGGAAGTAATGGAAAAACAACAAGTTACAGAGGACTTTGTAGATGAGCAGCTTCTGGATTCTCCTTCAGAGGTTACAGTTGGACTATTTATAAATACAAGAGAGGCGGCTTTGGATTCTAATGTGATGATTCATCAAGTTACAGACCAGCATAGAAATCAATCAGTTGATATACAATTTAAAGAAAAGAAACTAGAATGGAGACTTAAGCCACAAAAGCAAAACCAACAAGATCAAGTTATAGATCAGCATGAAAACCAAATAGTTGATATACAATTTATAGAAAGGAAATCAGGATGGAGATCTAACCCACAAAAAGTCAAGAAAAGAAGAAGCAGGTCTTACAAAAACAAAAAACTTTTAAACTAAACAACAGTGCAATGCCAGTTATCTAAGAGATGATTGAATATATGAAAAGATAGCTGAGGCAAAGTATTGATTTATATTATCCTGAGGACAGTGACAGACCTCTGCAGTGCTGTACTTTTGGGATGTGAAAAGGGCCTTAAACTGAATGGATTGGAATTATCTATTTTGGATTCTTTGATAGATGTATTACGTTTATGTTGAGCTACAAGGCAAGAGAGTTATGGGATTGGGGCACACAGAAGATTTGGCTGTTACCCTATTACGGTGGTTGGAATTAATAATTTAGATGAAAGACACTACTATAGACACTATATGGAATACAAATATAAAGTCACTCGGGTGGTTGTTTTTTATATATCAAGACATCTATTGTTGATGGGGGCAGATGGTAATTGAAGATACCGAACATACTGTTGGAATTAGGATGTGATGTTACCCTAATATGGGTGATGGAGTTAACAATCCAGCTGAAAGACACTACAGAAGATATTATATGGATTACAAGTTTAAAGTCATATGAGGATTTTATTTATATAAGGGAATACTTCTTAGTGGTGTGGGCAGAAGAATAAAGAGATCAAGAACTATTATGTATGGTAGTTCTGTAGGAATGTGGGTGGAGATAGGTTAGCTTATTGATGGTTTAGTTGAAGAAAAGGGATATTATGTTATATTAATATATCTATTATGTTTAGATATGAATATATGTAAAAGATTTGAGTTAAGAGATATATCTATGGGGGTGGAGGAAATGGGCAGACTATGAGTTGAATAAATGTTAAATTAGGATTTATTATATAGTTTTATAGTGGAAGGTTGCTTTGAAATGTCATATCAATATACAAAAAAGATTTGATTTAAGAGATACATGTATGGGGGAGGAGTAAAAGAGTAGATCATGAGTAAAAATTGTTAAATTGGGGGATATAATAATATTACTATGCTAAATTAGGAGTTATTATATAATGTTATAGTAGAATGTTATTTCGAAATGTATAGTATAAGGGGGATATAATAATATTATTAGAAAGAAAGGGTCAGCATATGGGGGATGGAGCAAGGGGATGGTAAAGTATTATATAATCTGTTATGAATTTGGGTTGTACTTTGAAGAAGCCACAGGGGGAGGGAAGGGCGAGGGGGGGTTAGGGAGGAGGGGGGGGAAGGGGGAAAAATTTGTATTTGAAAAACTTTTTCAATTAAAAAAAAAAAAAGATAAAACATTTTCAAGTATGTTTCTATAGATAAAGGAAGAAATGACCCAGACTGGAACGACCATCTGGATGACGAGGTCATTTGAGGTCAAATTCTTCCAGCTCAGTCCCTGCTTTGGGTTTCAGAGACATTCATGGGGCTCTTCTCAGAAATTAAGATTCCCATTGCTTTGTCTTTTCACTCAACCCAATTTAAATCTCTTTGTGGTTTGTAAATGTTTTTTTTTTTAAAGATGACTTTTTCTTCCCAAAAAATACTTTGTTATGTTAACTTAATTTTTCTCTTTTGCTTTACGCATCTATTGTGTGTAATCCTCAATGAAATAACCGTAGTTGAAAACAAGTGTGGCACTGCAGCACATTCAAAGCAAATATTGACTTGTTTAAAAAAAAAGGTCATTCAGTATACATGTAACTAGTACTACATTAACCCACTTTATAAGAATTACATTAAATCCTGATATTTCCCATTGTGGGCTCTGTAAAAGGAGAGCCCTGCCAATCTATGGTGGTAAAATATCAGAAGGAGTCTAGTAGCACTTTTTCTGACTAACACATTTTATTAAAAGCCATGAGCTTTCGTGAGTTTCGATATCTGAAACGTCTGATGAAGTGTGACGCCGTCAAAAAAGATGCTACCAAGGCTTCTCTTGATGAAAATCTGAAAAATTGTTTACTTACCTTGACTTGGGTTGGATGCTTGTTAGCAAATGAGACCAGTTCTGAACACCACTGGGATATAATGCCAAAGGCTGACACAGGCCAGTCAAGGCAAGAGGCACTAGGAAACTCCGACGATTGAAAAGAAGATGGTAGCAAACCCAGGCAATTGGCAAGAACAGTAAATTCTTCATCTTCCTATTAAAGAAACAAAACAATCAAAAGGGAAAGAGCTAGATGAGATGTATTCCAAAGGAAATAACATTTCTTAATACCTGGCAGCTGGGTAGCTCCCCTCCAAAGAGGTGATGCTGAAGAAGACTGGTTATCCTGAGGAAAGGCAGGCAGAATTGCTGCAAGTAAGTCTCTATGGAGTGTGAGCACCAAGCACTGGAGCTATCCTAAATTAAAAGAAACAAACAAAACAGTGATTTTATTCTAACTATTTAGCTGTTGAACTGACAAACCCCTGCCTGCAATTTCATAACGAGATATAGTTGGCACTAAAAAAGCTTGACTAAACAATATACATGTACTATACCATATCTTCAGTTTCCTCTTGTTCTTGTTCATAAACCTTCCCTTTGAAAAGTTCACTGATCACATGGCTGAGTAACACCTGACAAGACTTTTTTGCATTGATCACGTTCTGTAATTAAAAAGAAATTCACCATCAAATGAGGAAAAATAAATAAATGCAGTCATCCCCACAAAGGAGTTTCAAACCGAGATAAACATTTCAATGCATTAATAAATAATCCCACCAAGAAAGGTTCTGGTATTCCCTTCAGTAGGGAATGCAAATCTTCTGCATATGTAAAAATGGATCCTACAAGAGAAATCAAGTGTTTATACATCAAAGCAGTCATAATGCTCTAGACTGGATAATAAATTGGGCGGGAGAGAGGGCTGTACATCCTAATTTTCTACAGCAGGATGTCTTACAGACAAGTCAATGGAGACTTGTTTATTCAAATGTACAAAAAAGAATAAACCAACTTCAAACGTGGAATCTATTTTTATTTCATTGGGAAGCAATGTTCTGATTGTAGGTCAGAACATTTGCATGTACTTCTTGGGTGGTAAGAAGCATAACGACCTGGTAAATAGTGTCAAGATTAGAGAGATCACCTTGCATAGAGTAGCACCAGCAGGCTTGGGATAAAACCACTCTTTCACTCTGCTTGAGGCAGACTGGCCAAAATATATTCAAACTGCGCTACTGTTCTTACTGTTTGCCTGTGGCATGAATAATACAACCAAGGTTCATAACTTACTCTACAGCAGGGGTGTCAAACTCACGTCGTCACGGCGGCATCACATGACGTACGTGACTTTCCCCCCCTTCGCTAAACTGAGCGTGGTTGTGGCCAGCATGTGATGCATCTGGCTCGCGGGCTGTGAGTTTGACAGCCCTGCTCTACAGCTTACTAATTTACTGAAAAATATTACAGATAGCTCTAATTGACTAAAATCAGGATGGATGGATGGAAGTGAAGTGAAGTGAAGGTAGTGGGGGCATTTTGAGAGTTTGGAGCAATCATCTGCATCCATGTAATGTCAGCACTAGGATAAATGCATCTTGACATGTAAAACAGGAGGACAGAGTCAATAAAAAACCAGAAAAAAAGCTTGAAGCCTCTATTCCATCAACCTGCATATTACATTAGGGTATTATTTTTAAAAGGTTATTTGGATATTTGGATATTTCAAAAGCTGAGTTGTGAGTAGAAGTTAAGTGGCAACATCTGACGTGGCATGTCTGCAACATTTATTTGTCAATGTCTATGAATCCAAACATGCAACAAAAAATGATTGAATTCACACAAGAATCCCAGAGGAGGAAATGGTTGCCATACACTAACTAATCACTCCTACTTCGTGTTGAGTTTCAATATTCTGGAATGTTCTATTGAGGGTGAAAAACACAATCTATCTTACTCAGAATTCCCTTCTTGAAGCATGGTTTGAAGACAATTTGGTTGGGAATGACAAACAAAGAATATAGTGCATTCAGAAAGCATTCAGAAAGTATTTTGTCAATTTTGTTATGCTGCAGCCTCATTCTACAGTTGTTGAAATTCATTTTTTGTCATTAATCTACACTCAGTACCTCATAATGACAAAGTGAAAACAGAATTTTAGAAATATCTGTAAATTTATTAAAAAGAAAAAACTGAAATATAACATATTCAGACCCTTCGCTCAGTACTTTGTTTGGAGCACCTTTGGCATCAATTACACTCTCAAGTCTTTTTGGATGTTACGCAACAAACTTTGCATTCCTGGATTCGGGCATTTTCTGCCATTCTTCCTTGCAAATCCTCTCAAGCTCAATCAGGTTGGATGGTGATTGTTGGTGGACAGCTATTTTTAAGTCCCGCCAGAGATATTCAATAGGGTTCAACTCAGAGCTCTGGCTGGGCTCTGACTCTGGGAATGTCTAGGACATTCACAGAGTTGCCCCTAAGCCACTCCTGAATGCTTTTTGTATGCAATTATAGTTACTGATGTTATGCTGCTATGGATAGAACCCATGTGGAGGCAATCAGGCATCTTGCATCAAAGTTTACTATTCAAAGTTGAACTTCTGTTAAAAATTCTAATAGTAGCACAATGGCCAGGATAAAATAAGTAATGTAGCTACTTTGGTTTATTTCAAAGGGCTTCAATACTTATCACCTACTGTTATTTCTGCCCAATCAGACAGACTGTTCAGTCAACAGCTAATCCCCCAAAGCATATTAGTCATCATCCAGACAAAAAACACTTAAAAACACTTTAAAGGGCTTTCTGGATATAAGGTTCTGTAAATATTGCTTTAGATTTTTTTTTAAACAATATAACAATTAAAAAGGTTTAAGTATTTTTTAAAACTATCATAGATAAACTCTTAAAATATTTCAGAAGTGTTAATCTATCTGTCCTTGCTTTGAGGGGAGCAGGGGGACATTTCTGTACTGCAATCACAGTTTGGGCAAACAAGTGGAGGCAGGGGCAGTCCAGGAGGCAGTGGAGGGTAGGGGGCCTAGTGTGCTGAGGTCCATGGGTTCACAAAGAGTTGGACATGACTCTTTGAACAGCAATATAAAAAATAATCAGCTACACCATACACCATATTTTCATACAATAATCTATTTAATTCTAGGCAGCAGGTATTTTAAATACACATTCAGATAAATCAAATCTATCCCCTTTATTTTCTACTAAGAACAACAGACTATTGATTGAACTAATTATGTGAAAGACTAAAAAGCTGGCCTGTCTCCAGTATACAGCTATAGTAGTACCATTCCAATTACATTTGCAGAATTTACTCATTACAGTGGGTGAAGAGGTCAAACTTTGTTAAACTTTTACACCCAGAGTAACTTGGTTGAGATGGGTGGCTAAAGAAATTGATTAATTGATTGATTGATTGATTGATTGAATAGTGACTCCTATAATGTGTACATTTTGAAATAAAAATGGCAGTAATGCTGTGATGTTGCATTAATAGTTGTGCAATGAAGTGTTACATGATTTATTGCTTCTGAACATCACTGTTTCTCAGCACTGCTACAGTAGGGTAGCCTTCTATTTTCCTATGTCAGAAACTAATAGACCTACACCCATCTTTCTGACTGCAATTCTAACTGCAATTCTTCTCTTTTATATGAACAAAAGGAAGGCATCATAGTCTTTACAGGTCTATGCTTCAGCACAGACATGGATCATGGGGCACAAGTTGCAAGACATTTGAGATGGGAGCCTGCTTTTCATTCAACCCAAACACTCTGAGACTAATCAAGACAGGCTTAAAGTGTAAAGTACTGCAAACTCCTACAGCTACATTCCAACAAAAACATTTGACTGGCGCTTAACTAAGAGACAACTACCTCAGTAGTGGGTTTCATTTACCTTCGCTACTAGTTCGGAACTGTGAGTGTGCGTGTGCGTGTGAGCAAAGCAAGCACATGGTGCTTCTGTGCATGCGCAGAACCTTCTGCGCAAGCGCAGAGTGTCTGTGATGACATCTGGGTGGGTGAGTGGGCAGAGCCTCCTGTCACCACCGCTACCGGTTCACCCGAAACGGGGCGAACCGGTAGAAACCCACCACTGAACTACCTCCTTATCAGCCTTCTTCAGATTTTTATTAAATATACCAACCTTTTTCAGAGCTTCTGAATTCATCCAAGCCATCTTGTCCTCAGGGCTGCATTTCACAGAAAGTGCAACTAGAGCTTGTATGTACAACAATGTGAAAAGCACTTTTATGATACAGACAAAGTGTTCTGTAACAATACAAAAATATCATTAGACATCCTCAGGCCTCACATTTTTATATATTAAAATATGGTCCCTAATTCAGTCTATAAATCTGCAAGTATCAAGACAATTATACTGCTGAGACAACCATTCTAATTTTAAGCTTGCTGGTTTAAATCAATGTTTTATCATTGTTAGTTCATGTTATAAATTTTAGTATGTTATCTCGCTAGTCTGTACTATTCATTTTTGTTTAATTTGCAAGTCATGTGAGTAAACTGAATGAGGCAATTGTTCTTGTGCTGTCTGAATAATTTAACAAATTTCAGAACTTTTGCCAAAACCATGTTTAAAAAAGTTATCATTGCCTTTTAAATAAACTAATCTTAAATATTAATTATCTGATCATAATAATGAGATCTTGTCCCTAATAATCAAGAATGGTAGACTAGACCAAAAGTTCTCATAACAGGCAGCACAATGAATAAACTGCTTAATTAGAGTTATTTCAATGATAATCGATCTACCAAAAAAGTGTAGTTTTTTGTTGTCTATCTCTCAAAAACACCTAAGCTTAGTAATGTGAAGAAAGATATAATTATATAGTTCCATGATAATCCAAGAAAACTAACCATCAACTTTCAGAATTTGTCTTCTAGATATTCACAAAATCCAGATTGTTTTGAAAGTTACTATACAATTTTTTAAAATTTAACATGTTTCTTGAAACAACTGTAGCCAGAACTGAAAAAAGGTGCTTGCTAATACTGAGTGACATTACAGCACATTTTATGATTATCATTATTCTATGCTATGTTTCTCATAATTTAAATTAAATAGGATTGGCCTTCCTTCCACAAATAGTCCATGGCATAATGCTGATCTGTGCTAAACGAGCTTACTTTAAAAAAAAGTATTTGTGCTTCTAATTTGCTGAACTATAGCCCTGATATCATTAATCATCAGCCATGCTGGTCAAAACAAATGAAGTTATAGTTATGCATCATCAGAAGGAATAGGTGTTCTCCATCCATGCCTTCAATACTGTATTCTAGAGTTCTTCTTCCCAAGTTCTACATCTCCTACTGAGATGTAGAATTTAGGAACAAGCTTCCACACAACCTTAACTTTTTCTTATTTCTCAAATTGCCCAATTTGAGGTTTTCTTCCTATCATGTAACTATCTTTACCTTATTGACCTGTTTTGTTTCCAGGCAGCTGAACACACCATACCACTACATTAGAAGGTAGTAAGAATCAAAAGATTCACTGCCATGAACAGATCTAAATAAGAGCTAGATTAAATAGGATGCAGCCTGTCTATACACAGATATGCTAAATGTATGAGTGTATGACTCTCTGTGTGTGTGTGTCTCTCTGACCATGTGTGTGTACAGACAGACACACAAAAGCTACAGTAGTTGCAAGGAGATGCACTTATGAATGGAACTGGATGGAGGGAAGGGGATTTGGGATTATGTTTCTCCCATAATCCCAAACCAGATTCCTCTACTCTGCAGGTGCCATAGCACTGAGAGAAAACCTTTCATTAGCCTTACTCTTAACTGCTCATTCTAGACAGCCCTAAAAACAGTTTACCTGCTGCCCTTCGTGTGTTTTTAAAATTCATGAGAATTGCAAACCAAAGTTAAAAAAACAGCAATGAAAAAGCTCCTCTACACTGAACAGATTTTTAAATATTGGTATAATTGTTATTTTTTAAAAAATCAGAATTTTGATGCGCTCTTAAAGTATCTATCATCTGCCTCCTTAAGGCTTTATTTTTTAACTTTAGACAAGTCTCGTTTCCATTTATTCATAGAGAAAAAGAATTCTTGCACAGCTGATTATGCCTTTAAAAAAACTCAGCTGAGGTATAAAAAAAATCACAAGAGTAAAGCCAACAGCCTGTCAATTGACCCTATAAAAAGTGAAATGTTCATTTATGCTGTAAAAAAATAACAGAATTTATCCTGTAATACAGTTGTGCAAAAGAAATTAGGTCAGCCTTTTCAAAATCATAAAATTAAAAGCTTTCAAAATATGCAGTAATAAATAATTCCTGCTTCCTTCAGACTCCAATAAAATGCTTGAATATATGTACATGCAACAACCATTACAAATACTGTATTGTAGCAGTTACCACTGTGCCAAAAATGCTGGTTTGCATAATAAAAACATTCATCCCTCTCCACTCTCCAGCAATCACAATTCAATGTGAAATAGTCAATACTTTTCTTCAGCAAGCAAATGAAGGAAGGTCAAAGAGGAAAAACCTTTCCATGCTCCTGCAACTCAAAGAATTTAAAGGAATTTTTGGGCCTTGTGGTCTCCCTCCATTATTATTTGATAAAGCTCAGAAGACAAGACTTCCAGATATGGCTGCCAAAGTCACAACAAAAATTCTGCCTGCTGCCAACTTCTAGAGATAAGGTAAAGTCATTCCTAAAGCATACCAAGCAAATAAGATTGATTTGCTGCAATTCTCAAAAATCGCAAGAGAGAGAGAGAACTTACTGCCCTCTGTCTATTATTTATGTAACTTTGGTAATGTACCTTTGCGCAGTGGCTGAGGCATGGTTAAGATCTGGATGAGCAAAAGAGATGGGACATCCTTATAAAGCACTGGAACTTCTGGCTGATCCTCGCTGGACATCCTGACAAAAATATATGCAGTTAAAAGCCACATTAATTTTCTCCAGACTTAAATACATTTCTCAATCCATTGTTATTTGATTCTAAGTATCAAATAGAACAACATAATTTAAAAGTAAAATTGCAAATATTTGGACTGAGACAGAATTTATTTCATCTTGATTATCTAATCCTAGATAATCAAAACCTTTTGTTTCTTTGTGAAGAAACAAAATTAAATTTGAAAGTGGGAAAGTGTTATTCAAGAACTTTGTGTGATAAAACAAGAAAAGATAGGCTCAAAAGAATGAATTGGCAATAGATGAATGCAGATTCAAAACAAAGCACAATATAAGTACTTTGAGGGGGGTTATTATAGAAAGAAAATTGGACATGTGAAGCAAATCGAAGCAAAAACAAACACATGAAGCGAATTGTACAAGCAAAGCTTTGCTTAGCTTATAAAATGGCTTCCCTGCTGATTCACCAAAGTTGCTGTAAAAAACATTCAATAAAAAATTCAATTCATGGTTATATGAAAGTCCAGTTGACATTCTAACTTCCCGAACTTAAAAAAACTTATGGATAATTATGTAAATGTGAACACAGATGTTATAAAATAGTTATACTAAATAGGGACTGATAGACACATTAATAATGACTATTATAGTACTGCAAATAAAACTAACCCAACTTATATTTTTACATGTATTCAATCTTCTCAATAATTGGCAACATTCATTTCTCTTTCATATTTTAACAGGCTACTAAATTTTCATCAATCAAACAGAACTTGATCTTCACAAAAACAAATGATACATTTAGTTCCTTCACTAGAAGTGAAAGAGTAAAATTCTAGAAAATGCCAGTTTAGATAAGCTTCTTTAGTTTATGTCAAGCATCAAAGTAAATTAAGCCTTAAGTCTACACTGTCATATATTAAAAGCTTAAGCCATTTCTTCATCGTGATATGGAAGCTGTCCTTTAAAAGTCTGTTTGCAGTATAGAACATCTACTCTACTAATCCCTTCAATGCCTGTGAGACAAGTTGATAAATATAGCTTTGCAATACACACATAGAAGCAGTTAGTGAGGGAAAAGCCCTAATGTTTTTCAGGGAAAAAGACCACAATTATTACATATTGAAGAAAAACTTGCCAAGTTGGTTTAAGAGCTTATGGATTCCAAATTTAGAGAAATTGATAACACTGCTGGGAATCACGGCTGAACAAAAAAGGTGTGTTTTCTCATTGCTAACTCAGATTTCCAAATGCAACCTATATAAATAAACTATGGCTACACTGAGCTAATAAGAGCCAGTCTGATTTAGTGGAGAAGGCACTAGGCTAGAAGCCAGGAATCTGCGAGTTCTAATCCTGCATTAGGCATGAAGACTGGCTGAATAACTTTGGGCTAGTTACTGTCTCTCTCAGCCCAAATCCTTGGAGATTAAAGGAGTATTGTGTGTGTTCACCATCTTGAGTTATTTATAAAAAATGTGAGAAATAAATAAATATTAAAGAAATAATAAATAAGTTCAAGTCAAGTGTCAAGTCTGTTTCATACATGATAGATCCATGCCTTTTCTGACTTTCTGAGGGAAATGGTGCCACTCTTAAATAAAAAAATGAGAAGGTGGTACGGTGCAATTCAAGGGCCATGCCACATGCTAAATAAGGGCATCCTCATTTAATGGGCTTAAGTCTCACATGCTTCCCATAGATGTTCTTGATCATAGAGGCTAAGGTTCAAGGAATTATTGAGAATGCTCATCTACTCAGGAAAAAAAGGTAAATGTAAAGGGGAGGATGGTAGGGACACCATGGGGATTTGGAAGAGGTGGGGGAAGCAACTGCCCAATTTTCTTTCTGGTAAATGTGCATTATGTGACTAGCCACACCTACCATAGTGGCCATTATGTAAATATGCAAGAGAGCAGCCATTGTCTGAAGAACAAGAACATGATCTCTAAATTCCAAGGATTTCCTGTATTTTGCTAACTCAAGATTTTTTTAAAATAAAACAATGAGCTTTTGAACAAGCCACAGTCACTTTTGAAATAAAGTTCATCACACATTTGGCCAATGCTTTTCCAGGGGTGTACGTAACATGCTTCAATTAATCAAGGAACACAAACAATATTGCTAACTGGGTAGGTCTGATATTGACTAATATAAGTGTTTTTTGAAGTCTGGAAGGCTACTACTGTACTACTGTTTTATGCATCCTGCACACAAGGCCAAGAAAATGCAAAACTAATTTTTGCAATAATGACATGCTGAGGGGATTTTGGACACCAGTTCAGAAATTGCATGCAATGCTTGAGGTTGTGGCAGTTTATCCTAAACAGGATTGTAAAACAGGGTTATGTAATTTTCCTTGATTAAAACAAGGTGAATATTAAAAATGTCTATGTACTTACTCCAATTCTTCATTCTCTATCAATCGTGTCAGTTTCTTCCATGGATTGTAAGCGGAATCAATGCTGTAGAGTCTCATGTGCATAGCCAAAACATGAAACAGCTGATCTATAGAAAGAGAAATGAAGGAGGTTTTTTAGATGAAATGTCTCCATTTTATATCCCTTTGAAAAGGTTTATTCAGCATTTTTTTGTTTGCTTAAAACGACTTCCTTAAACCCTGATAATTCAATGGAACTAGACTTGAAAAATTAATCCCAATCCTAGATAAAAAAAGGAAATACTTCTGCCACGATTGAATTTGTTTGGTGCTACAGGTGAACACTTCAGAGGTTTCAATCTGATATATTTACAAGATCGGGGTCCCCATCCCCCGGTCCATGGCCCGGTGCTGGGCTGCAGCCTGTTCGGAACCAAGCTACAGAAGTGGTGTCAAGCATGCGCATAGCTGAATTTGGGAAAGTGGTGTGCACATACGCTTGAAACCATCTCCTCTCCCTCCCCCCGCTGCCACTGCTACTTCCGCCAATCCGCCAAGCTGGAAAGGTTGGAGATTGCTATGCAAGAGGTTCTCTGTTTCATGGAATGCTTCCATTTTTTCCCATTAATAACAAGAGTTCCTTAGAACTCAGTCTTGGGTATCTCTTATTTTTTTTATGTAATCTTCCTCTAGGCCAGGGGTGTCAAACTCAATTTCATTGAGGGCCGCATCAGGGTTGTGTTTTACCTCGGGGGGGGGGGCATGGCCAGAATGGGTGTGGCCAGCTCGACGTCACTCCTGTCGAGGGCACCTGTGATGGCCCAAGCGCTCTGCCAGCAAATACTGGCTCCCGAGCTCCGTTTTCGGCTGCCATGGCCTCCTGCAATCCTCTGCCAGTGAAAACAGAGCTCGGGAGGGCCATGCTTTCTTTTTGCAAAATTGCTTCAAAATCAGTCATTCAATATCATTCAAACATACGAACATGTGAATGATTTTTTTAAATGTTATCTAATTCTGGGTTTTATTTAATTGACCAAACTAAGTAATAATTTTAATTAGCAATTTTATGATGTTTGTGTGTCTATATTTTTCTTGACTGTTCATCGCCTTGAGTCCTACGGGAGAAAGGCGGTATAGAAATATAATAAATAAATAAATAAATAAATAAATAAATAAATAAATAAATAAATAAATAAATAAATAAATAAATAAATATATTTTTATCTGATTCTTCATATATTCCAAGTTAATATACATGCCACAGACATTTCAGTTTACACACTTAGTTTATATTATAATATAACTGATTGTAATGTCAAGGCTGTTTAAAAATTCAATGTTTGTACTGCACTTAGTTATACATCCATAAAAAGCCGAATCATTATTAGCCATGCTTCTGCTACATACTGACGGATGGATGTACAAACAGATCAGGCAAAATCCTCTTGGCTATTTATTCTGACATCTACAGTAGAATGTAGTCCAGCTGTGCCCATAAAAAGCCCCCATTTTATTCCTTCTTCAGAATAAAGAAGTTCAAGAGGAGCTAAATGAAACAGGATACTTGAGTTTAATTTTTGTTTGGATCTACAGATCAGAATTACTCTAGTTTTCGGAGTATAAGATGAACTCCCCCCCCCCAAAAAAGTGGGTGGAAATGTCTATCTGTCTTATACACCGAATGTTGCTGAAGCCCCACCCACCCACCGGCCCCCACCCTGTTTTCAGCCTCCACACATTGTGTTTTCGGGCTCAGCATGCTCCATTTTAGACCCATTCCAGGCTGCTGGGATTGCCACAGCACATGGCTACCAATTGCCACCTCCACGCATCACGTTTTCGGCCTCTGCGCATCACATTTTCTGTCTCCGCATGTCCATTTTCGGCCTCCGCGTGTTGCACTTTTGGCCTCCGCATGTTGCATTTTTGCCCTCTGCACCCCGTTTTTGGCCTCCGCGTGTTGCATTTTCAGCTGGTTCCAGGTGGCAGGATCGGCAGCGAGGCCGAAAATATGACACACAGAGGCGGCAATGTGCTGTGCGGATCCTGGCAGCCTGGAACGGGTCTAAAACAGAGCGTGCGGAAGCCAAAAATGCGACACGTGGAGGCTGAAAAGGCGATGCGCATAGGTGGCTGTGGCGATCCCCGCAGCCTGGAACAGTTGATTTGCCGTATTCTGGGAGGCTGATCCAACCGCCAGTCAGCTGGTCATGCTGAATTAGGCTGCGATAATGTGCTGAAGCTGACCAGGCTGTTTGCTGTTTGCTGCAAGGACGCTAGCCAGATGAATACCAATGGATACTGGTAGGTAGAGGCAGAAATTTTTTTTTCTTGTTTTCCTCCACAAAAACTAATATGTGTCTTAAACTCTGGAGTGTCTTATACTTCGAAAAATACAATACTACATAAATGGGAATCCCATGAAGCTTTTTCAAATTTTCCCCCCCATATTCCCATGCACGGGTAGTTTGTTTAGTTTGACGTGAGTTAGGACTTTATGACCATTGTGGCATTCTCATGGTCACAGGATTTACATTCGGATGCTTGACAACTGGTTCATATCTATGACGGTTGCAGTGTCCTGAGGTCATGTGATCATTTTTTGTGACCTTCTGACAAGCCAAGTCAATGAGGTTTCACTTAAGCGTATTAGTAATTTAACAACTGCAGTGATTCACTTAACAAATGTGGTTAAAAAAGTCATAAAATGGGAGAAAGCTCACTTAACAAATTTCTCACTTACCAACATAAATTCTGAGCTCAATTGTGGCTGTAAATTGGGGACTATCTGTATATTTTGATTCAATTTTAATATATTCCAGCTAAGGGTCCATATGCATTTTACTAACTGTTTCTTTCAAAATAGTGCAAAGTATTTTTAGTTGGTATCAGTATAGAAGCTCTCAATTTTTTTTTGTCCCACCCAAAAAACTTATTTCTACTTTCTCTTTATTTATTACCCCCGTTTCTAGCCTTCTGTCCCTACCACTTGTAGAGGCTCTTAAAAATGCCACATGTAAATATAAATCACAGAAGGAATTAATTTATTTTCTACAAATAGACAATTATTCATAGACACTTGGGAGGCCAAAACTGGCTCATGCTGAAGTCAGCTGCTTCATGTAGAGCTTGAAGGCTGTAATTAACTTCTTGGTTTGCCAAATAATTGTAGGCACTGATGACATTGGAACTAAGTGCTGTCACCTGTTTTCTGAATCAGCAGCAGTGAATTAGGACAAAATGAGCTCCCATTCAAACTGGCAAGAGATGTTTAGTGAACATTCATTCCTTTGTTCTTTGGCTTGTATATGTTTATATAAGCAATGACTCCACCCACCCAGGCTAAAAAAACTCTCCTTTGGAAATGGCAATAGTTGTAGCTGTAAAACATAAAACTGTATTTTTATGGTGGGGGGAGGGAGAGGGGGAGTCTTAGGCCTAGAAGACCACCCATGTGAAAGGTAGTAGAATATAAGAATAGAATAGGATAGGATAGGATAGGATAGGATAGGATAGGATAGGATAGGATAGGATAGGATAGGATAGGATAGGATAGGATAGGATAGGATAGGATAGGATAGGATAGGATAGGATAGGATAGAATAGAATAGAATTCTTTATTGATCAAGTGTGATTGGACACACAAGGAATTTGTCTTTGGTGCAAAAGACAAAAAGGGAAGGATTCCTGTTTTTGCTGATGCTCTTTCTCCTACAGAACCTTGTTGCCACCTCCCACAGAGTTTTAAAGCAGGGGTCTCCAACCTTGGCAACCCCTGTTCTAAAGGGTTCTTCAAATCTCTGGAAAACAGCCTGCTTCAGTTTTCCAGTCACAAAATCTGTCACCAGATGGAGAACAATTACATATAATTGTTCAATACTCTCTGTATTGGTTCAATTGTAGTACCTCAAGGCACAGTTTGGCGTAACCACAGACTCAGGCATCTTTTCTCTGGCTATTTGATACTACAATTTTATACACATAAATTGCTAGCAATTTTTGTCTGTGTTTTTTCTAATAAGCTAGCATATCATGATTTGCAGGAACGGTACACAAATTCCAGCATATGGCTGGAAACCTCTTATGAGACCAAGTGAAAAACTTCTTTGTTTACTCAACACCATCCATAGCTAGTACCAGTGGTGGGATTCTGCCGGTTCTAGGAGTTCGGCCAAACCGTTTGTTAAATTGCTGGCTCACCCCACCCCTTACCCTGCCCCTCCGCACCACTATTTATTGCAAATATATAGTGGTGGGCGAGGGGTGGGTGAGCCAGCAATTTAACAAATGGTTCAGTGTTTTTTTGTAATTTTATTGGCCCGCAGAGCTTCAGCATAGGCTAATTAGCCCGTTGATTAGATCGGCCTCCCGACTCTCAGCTGATTTGTTCTCAGCTGTTTTGCTCTGCTGCTTGCTTGCTAAGAGTGCTGGAGCAGATTTTTTTTCCCCTAGCTATGCTGAAAAATGAAACAGAAAGCAGGCTGTTGGCTTTGCTGTTTGCTGCAATGTTGGAAAATTAGGCAAGCAGATTTCTTTTCTTTTTCCTCACCAAAAAAGATAGGTGCAAACAATGGGAAATTTAGGGAAAAAGAGGAGAGTTCAAGATTTTAAAACACAAAAGAAAAAAAGCTCTATTTAACTAGGGAATTGTAATAATTGAGATACTATTAATTGTATATTGTGTTGAAAGCAGAAATGGTTAAGTTGTGGTTTGGAGGAATATATGGGGGAAATTATTTGGTTTATTATTATTGGTAAATATAATTAATTGATTTGTAAGAAATTGGATTGCATGGAAATAATTGGAATATTCATGTTCATATTGATTAATATACAAAAAAGATAGTTATATAACTAATTGATTTATATTAAAATGTTGAATTTATATTAAACAACTGTAATATTACATAATTAACCAATGTGAGGATGGATATAAAAATAGATGACAATGGGAAGGGGTATAATATAGAATAGAAGGGAAAAATTGAATTTGATTAAGATTAGAGATGAGGATGAAGGGTAATATTGGTTTTTTAAAAAAATAGATAAGGAATAAATATGGCAAAAAGGAAATATAGAAATTGTAAATTTAATTGAAATGACTAAACACTGTTTAAATTTGTGAACT